CACAGGCTCTCACTTTGTATCTCAACAGTAATTACAAGGCTATTTCTAGAACTAGAGGGGATTCTCTGTTGCCATACCATTACCTCTGTAGTCCATTAGTGACAAAGGCATCAGCCCTAGAGCTTTCCCCAGAGGCATTGTAACTCTGCAAAGCCCTGCTTCTGACCTTCTTTTTTGTTAGACTTTTTTTCTTCTATCAGATGATGACTTGCACTTAGAGATGACTTGCTCAGATGATGACTTGCACTTAGAGATGACTTGCACTTAACCTTTCTTAGCTTTGGATTTTGTGGGAGTGTTATTTCCTTTTCGGTGTGAGAACTCCAGAGAGACACCACTGCTCCTTAACTACTTCTGAAGAGTCTAAACTGGAACTAGAGAATGTTGCTCTCCACAGATATCGCTGTTAAGAAAGCCGTTCTGTGGTCATGATGACTCCTCAAAACTTGTGTATTTTTAGTTTGACTTGCCAGCTAGAGTATCTGTTTCATCAAGATTTTGATAACATTTTTATTATGACTGATTTCCTCTCCCCTAATGCTGCCGGATGCACTCATACCCTTTTTTATCCTCTGAGTTCCTGATGAGGAACTGCTACCCACATGTTCCTTGTGTGGTCTGTAGTCATAAGCTGCATTTCTTAGATGTTTGTTTTTCATCTTGGTTGTATGAAAATGTTGCAGTTAAGAGATAAAAAGATGCATACCTCCAGTGCATACTGGGAGAAAATTAAAGCACCCTGAGAGGTTACAAGGAGGATGCATATGCAACTTGAGTGTGCATACATTGAAGGCATACATTCAGTAGGCAGGCTAAGACACTGGGAATATGTTGCTCCATTTTGAGTACTCCAAATTTTAAACATAAAAAAACAAACAAACAGACAAACAAAAAAAAACAAAAAAAAACCAACAACCATATTCTGCAGTTTTCTTGGTGAGCCTTTGAAAGACTTTTATTTTCTTAACTAATAGGAAATTAAGCAAGTGGTTGAGGCCTAGAGTTTAAATCTGTGATAGGATGCAAGATTTCAGGTGCCACAAACAGCCACTTTCAGAGAAGTGGCAACTCTACTTTCCAGATGTTTTCTCCAGTTAGGAAAAACCTTTTATTTTTCTGAGATTTCACAGACCTGCTCAGTGAGCCGGAGTATAACAGACTGTTTTTATAAAGGAGAAAACCTCTTCACACTCAACTCCAGAAGATTTTGCCTTCTCCCAGACTGAGCTGGTTGTTCTCAGTCTGCACTACAGTACTGGCCAGTTCTACCTTTAACAGCCTTCTTTCCGTTTTTAAAATAAACACAAGAGATGTTTTCTCTCTTTTGATTATTGTGCCTCTTTGGACTCCTTAATCGTCTCAATCAGATGACTCCTCTATCCTGAGGGAATTCTCCACTGGGGTAAGATTCGGCAGAACAAGTTTTTACAAAAGCATTTCCTGGACTAAGGTGGAGCAGAATGGCATTCTGTGAGATCTGAACTGGTCTGTGGTCTCTCAGGGAGGATAGCCTGTTAATGTAAATTAGAGTTGTTTATGATAGGGAAAGCTCTACTTTAATTTACCCTGGGACTGAGTCAGAGTAGTTTCCATTTGTGAACCAGCGAGCAATAACCCAATTCCTCCCACATGCACATAGTCCCTAGAGAAAGTGGGTCTTCCTAGAGGACAGGGTTTATGTCAGAGGTTATTGGCACTGGTCAAAAAAAGAGAAATAAATAGAGAGAGAACAAGGCAAAACAGGCATTTAATTTGATTTTATCAGAAGAGCTGCCAGACGAATGCTGTGCCAGGAAACTTTACCTGCAGCTCTTCATTACTTTTCCTCTGTCAGGAAAAAACTGTGCCTTCTTATCTGTTCTGTTAACTTGAGCAAAGTCTCTTAGCATCTGAGGTTGGGGGCATGCATCCAGGACATTGCAAGCATGTCACTGCCAAGTCTGTAAACACAGTTCGTGTTTGTTGGCAGTTCCTCTGACCATTAACATTACATCATCTCTAGGCCAAGCCCATGATAATGAGAACAGTTTCAGTCCATGTAATTTAACTTCTGACTTAAAAGACCCCAGTATAAAAGGTGACATCAGTCTGTGGATGCTATGTACTCTAGACAGCTTGAATCCTTTTCCAGTACTTACCCTTCTTGCCAGTTTTGAGTAAAAGTATTAAAAGCCATGTTGGTTTTAAGCCAAACTGTATCATCAGGAACTCTGATCTTTTAGAATCAGCAAGGTTATCAGTTATCTTCCATGACTGTAAGTTTTGAATGCTTTGTCAGCAAAAGAGCAGTATAACTTTTTGATCATTGTAGATGAGTTAAAAAAAAAAAGAGAGAGAAAAAAACACCAAACCAGGAATTCAGTATTGTATTTCCATCAACTCCTTCCAGCTTCTTCCTGTTTTACAATATATTTGTGACCTTTTTTTAACTGAGGATCAGTTGTGTTGCTCAGTAGTGGGAAGGTTCTGCAGCTTCTGTGAATTGTTTTTTCATCTTTATATTTGTGTAATCCCTATACTTTGTTTGCAGCTAGGTAAAGGTGCTAAGATTTCTAGTGCAGTCTTTGGTTTGTGAGTTACAAAGTTCTCCAAACCCTCTTTTAGTTTTTCTAGGTCTCCAGCTTCCCTGCAGAGTTCTTTGTTTCCTAAATTGCATGTGACACTTTGATTCAAATCCTCATTATGCTCAGCATGAATTTCTGCATATTCCTGGTAGTCAACTATAAATATAACAGAAGACAATTTTGTACAGAATTCCTCTGCTTGCTATTAGCAAGCTGTACCATCAGCCCTTCTTCCTCTAAGTGATTTCTCAAGAGGATGTTAACGCGGGTGTTTGGTAGGACTGTGGTGAGTGGCAGCTCTTCCTCAATAATGTTTTAGTTACAAGGCAAATTTCTAACCAGGTAGATATCTGTATAGGGGAAAAGGTCTGATTATTGTGCTTGAGGAGGATCTCACCCCTTTTGTTTTCATTGCCTGAGAATTTTGAGAAGATCACTTTTTCTAGATGCCGTTTGACAACTTCAGATGTTCCAATTGGTGATTTTCCTTTGAGATATGATGCAGGTAATACATTTCATCATACACAGATAACCCTGGTGTGGCAGTTTCCTGCTTTTGACCTTTCTCATTTGGTCTCTCCCATTTTGATTTTGGTAGTATACTCTTTCAGTTGTCTTTTATTGTTTCACTTGCAAAATCAAGAAGTAGGCTGAGAGGTTGAAGCTACATGTAGAAGGAGAATGGAAATCCGGAGGAGAAGGTAGGAGAGGTAGTCAAAGAAGTGAGCTATCTAGATCTACAAAAAATCATGATGTTGGCAGCAATGGGGAAAAGCATATTAGCACCCTTCAGATGTTCATGACAAGGACGTCAGTCTTTCCAAGAACTGTATTGAGATGCGAGTAGAATATCAGCCCCTGGAAGAGGAGGCAGACACAATATATTTCAATTACTTACTTACATTACACTGATATTATACTGGTAGCAATTTTCTTTAAATAACAGTACGTTACAGCTTGGCATCCTAGATGTTTTTCAAATCATCTCCATTTGACATTTGTCATTTTGCAGGTGTCTCTTACAGAAGCTATTCTTGGTCGAAGCTGATCATTGGCACTATGGAGTGCCTGGATCAGAAAACTGATTAATCTTAATGCCTACAGTATAATAAAATAAGAAGTGGTTGGATAGTGAATTCAGTACTGTGAAGACTCACTGAAAAATAAAATTACATCAACAGGGATGCTGCCTAGTTTAGAGTTATTAATGAAGCAGTCTTACACATCAAGTGTACATGGAGAACGTTTCATTTCTCTTCATCCACGTAATGCTACAGCAGACAAGTCAGTAAAGCCTAACCTACCAAGTTAGGTTCTGGCCCTTGGAGATCTTGCTACTAAGTCTATTCAGAGTTCATAACATTTTGTATAATGATCTTAAATGTTTGATTTAAAAATACCTAAATGCGAAAATGGTTGTGAAATCTCTCTAGTTTTCAAATGCTATTTAAGCCTTGTAATAGTCTGAAAGGCTCAAAAAGCCAGAAATCAAACCACAGTATTGATTTGTCCTCTAATTGAATGTTCTCAAATGTAATAGAAAGCCTTTTGTAGGGCAAATGCACAAGACAAACACTAGATCAGTAGAAGACTGATCTAGTGTGCAATCGTGGCTGTCTGGATTTCATGTCTGTGTCAGAGGCTTCCAGACAATATCATCTACTAATTACGTTTTCATGAAAAAGTCTCCAAAAGTTGGACACACCCAACAGTAGTTTAATGGGATAAATAAGTAATCTATACTGCAAGGAAATTACAAGCTATAATTTGCATAGAAAGGACTTAATCTTCTTTCAAATAGAACTTGGTCTATAGATCCCTGTTGCATGAAATAAAGTACTTTTGGACAATTTTTGTGTATTGTTTATCAAAACTTAAAGCAAACCCAGGAAATTCATAAAGAAACAAGACAAACTTTTTTTTGTTTTTGTTTTTTTTTGGTGGAATTCTGAGAACTACTTTTCTGAAATGTGGATAGAACTCATTAGTAATTAGGCTGACAGGGACTAACCTACTCAGAGCCATGCTTTACAGCCTGACATTTTCTCATTAAGAAAAGTCATGTTCTAGTGATCTACTGTGATTTTTACTCTTTTCTGCTTTTTTGTTAGCAGAAGTCTTAAATCTTGAACCAGGCCTATGAAGTTTGATTACATCTTGCTCATGCATTGTTGCTGTGTCTGCTGTTATATATATGTCAGATTGCTTTTGTCATAAGAAAATAAACTCTTTGGTTTGTTTTGTAAACAACAAAAGTTGTTGAGTTCTATTAGCATAATTGTGTAGGGTAACTGTAACTGTAGGGTGCTATTGATGTTATTTTAAAGGAAACATAACCTTAGTAGTCTTGAACTTATGAGTGAGCTGAGACTAAATCTATTTTGAAGCTGATCAATTTTTCATGGTTTTTTTTTTTTTTTTTCTTTTTTCAGGAGGAATGCATATGAGGAGCAGTGATATGAAGAAACCGTCTTGAAGTTCATGTGGAAGATATGTTGGCTTGTAGGAAATCTTCCAGAACAAATTGCAACCGTTGTCTTCCCCTGAAGTAGCTGTACAAGATGAACAGGCTGTGATAATACTCCTAACTATTTGACTTGAAAGGACATGTTTTCGGGTTGCTCAGCATGGTGTGGGGACCAGTTTCCGTGAAAGGATGCTGCACATGAAAACTGTTTAAAATTTTCATATGATAACAGAAAAAACAGAACTGCTTTGCAGGCTATTGAGGTGTGATATTCATAAAGGGAAGACATTCAGGTTTTCATGGGCAGTGTCTGACTGAGGAGAAGCCATTACTGGTCAGGCCACAGAAGCTCAAGGCTCTCCAATGTCCCCCAGCAGGTGATGGGCATTCCAGTACGACCAAGACCTGTCCAGGGCAGCGCTGTGCAGCGCCAGAGCAGCTAGTGTGGCTGTGGTGGAGTGTGGCTCCATGGAGGGCAGCGGCACAGTGGAGGAGGAGGAGAGTGGGGCCGGGTCTGGAGCCCCACCACTCACCCTGTCCTCCCCCTGCAGCTTCAGCTCTTCTCTGTGCTTCAGCTCTGCCACCTCTGAGCAGGGGGCCCCATCACCGTCCTCTACTGGCAGCCATGTGGTGGAAAGCCAGTGGGAGCTCAACAGTGTGGCCTCTGAGTCGGAGGAGGAGGAGGCGAGTGCACGAGAGCCACCAGCTGGCGCACAGCCTACAGGGCGGCCAGCTGAGGAGCCCGACCTTGTGATTGAGGTATCAGGGCAGCGCATCCGGGCACACAAGTCGGTGCTGGCAGCCAAGAGCGACTACTTCCGAGCCCGTGCCTCGCGAGATATCCTGCGGGTGAAGGGGGTGAGCTACGGGGCGCTGAGGCTCCTCATTGACTATGTCTACACAGCCCGCATGGGCGAGGTGCGGCACGACAACCTGGCCGAGGTGGTGAGCGGTGCCCGTGTCCTCCAGATGCCCTGCGCCTTGCACTGTGCTGCCGAGGCCATGCGCGCCCAGCTGCGCCTTGACAACTGCTACCAGCTCCTCTGCCTGGCCAAGAAGCAACGACTGGCAGAGCTGCGGGAGGCCGCCTACCGCTTCATGAGTGACCACTATCTGGAGGTGCTGCGTGAGCCAGGCGTCTATGGCCGTCTCAGTGGGGCAGAGAGGGACCTTATTCTGCAGCGGCGCCTGGAGGCTGGACGACGCTGCCTATTGGTGGCTGAAGTCAGTGATGCTTTCGAGCGGCCTGGTGGTGGCAGCCGACCACAGAGCCGTGAGAGCAGCCGCCCCCAGAGCCCCTCTTCTGTGATGTCTTTGGAGGAGAGTGGCTCCCTCATCCATTGCTACCATGAGGCCAGCCGTGAGTGGAGGGTGCTGACACGTCTGCCTGAGGAGGCCAATGCCAAGGGCTGCGCCATGTGTGTCCTCCACAACTACCTCTTCCTGGCAGGGGGCATTGCTGCAGGGCCAGTGGGCAGCGAGCCACGGGCTCGCCTCTCTGACAAAGTCTTCTGCTACAACCCCCTCACTGACACATGGAGCCAGGTACGCCCACTGGCTCAGCCTCGCTCACAGCTCAAGCTGCTGGCTCTGGATGGTTATCTCTACGCTGTTGGGGGCGAGTGCCTCTTCACCGTGGAGAAGTATGACCCACGGGCTGATCGCTGGAGCCCCGTTGCACCCCTACCCAAGGGAGCCTTTGCCGTTGCTCATGAGGCCACCACTTGCAATGGGGAGATCTATGTTTCAGGGGGATCTCTCTTCTACCGACTGCTCAAGTATGACCCCAAGCGTGATGAGTGGCAGGAGTGTCCTTACAACAGCAGCCGTCGACGCTCTGCTGACATGGTGGCCTTCAAGAACTTCATCTATCGCTTTGACGTGAGCAGCGGCCGTGGTGGAGAGCAGGGGCCAGGTGGTGGGACTGGTGCTGGTGTTGAAGTTTTCCGATACAACACAGTGGCCAAGCGCTGGAGCCAGTGTGCCAGCTTGCGGCCCAGCAGTGGCCCCATCCAGCCCTTCCGTTGTGCTGCCTTGGGTAACACCATCTACTGTGTCAACCGGACTGGCACTCTCCGCTTCATATTAGCCCAGGATGGCGAGGTGGAAGCAGATGGTGGGCTCAAGGGTACCTTTGATGGTGAACTTCTCAAAGCTCCATTTGATGCTAAGGGCCTCCTCCTACCCTTTGTGCTCACTCTTCCAGAGAAGCTGGAGAAAGCAGGGGACCAAGAGGGTTCCCTCTCGCTGTAAGTGGCCAGCCTCACTCTGGCGTGCTGGTCAGAGGGCTGGGTTGCAACTTTTAGGGAACACGCAAATTCACTCCCACAGAAGGGACCCTCTCCAGCATGTTTGCAGAGAGAAGGGGCTCCCTCCTTCCCTCTCCCAAGGTTTTGGTCTGGAAGTGCTTGGTTGTCACCTGGGTAACTCCTACTGTGTTGCCTTGCTTTGTGTGAAAAGACGAGCAAACCAGAGGAGAAGCTGCTATAAAAGGATAATCTCTGGATTATGTTTGTGTCAGTTCCTGACACTTTTTTGCACCTGGAGTTCTAAAAATTCCTGACAACAGTGTCATAACAAAATGTTCCGATTAGTTTTGGTTGTGTGTATGCATGTAGTTGTGATCTGGGCTGGAGCCTCTTCTGCCACCTGTTTTCTTTTCTCTCCTGGATGATTCCAGAGGATAAGCACTGCTGGCAACATCGCTTAACTGTATTTGTTCTTGTGTCAAATCGACTGTTTCCTCTGCTAGAAAAGTATAAGAAGATCATCTCAATCACAGCATCTCAGTGCAATAGATGGTTTTAGGAAGACATGGCACTGTGTGGTCCCAGGAATTTCAACCATGATGATGTAACAGATACCAGACGTAAAGCTTTAAGCAACACAAATGTGTGCCGCATGTTCATATTTGGAATACACAAAAAAAAAAGGAAGTTAGTTGTTTAAAATGCGGTGTGTCATGGCAGATATGAAATGTTGATATGTTCTTTATTTGAAAAAGGCAAGATTTCTGTATAAAAAGACACTGTTTTATTACTTTTTTTATCAGAGATTTTAAATTATAACAAAAATGGACTTTAGCTGTTTGGACTGTGGCAGATTTACATGACCATGTAGACCACTAGAGCTGTGGGAAATATTTTGTACTTCAACTACTCTTTAATTAACTGCAGGTCGAGGAAAATTAATCTAAACCAAATGTAAATTCTTCAAAACTGTCTGCAGACAGCTTAAATGTTTCTTTGTATGTTCAGTACCCTGTGGCAAGAGGCTTTTCCAACTTAATGCAAGACCATCAAAGGAGGACATGGTAAACAGGAATGTGTTACACATGTTGATTTTATTGTGCACTAGCATGATGTTATTTCCCTATCTTTGGATTGAGAGACTGCTTTATTTATTTTGATTGATTGCTGTAATCAATAAGCCCTTGTCAACTGCAGTACATGCTGATGGCCTATGCTGTCATTGGGATTCCGAACCACTCAGGTGCTGTTTGTGGAGCAGCGTCCTAACGAGACACAACCCCAGAGAAATTCTTCTTGCCTGTGCAAAGGCAGAGCATACTTTTTTTTGTCATTTTACTCGGAACTGGAAAAGCATAAACTGTCTACATAGACAAACTATACTGAAAAGGGCGCTTGCATTTATTTTAAAAACTTTATATATATATATAAAAAGTCAGTAGACAGACAAGGCAAATGTTTTAGCTTTACTGTAAACCACTGACACCTTTTCTGAAAAATAGAACCAGTGTTTTTACTATTAGTGATTCAGCCTGGAAGTGGCATGGACTATGGAAGGGAATTGTTTATATTCAAAGTTCTAGTATAGATTCATATTTTAGAAATAAATAGGGACCTTACATCAAAGAGCAGCAGATCTTTTTATGTTTTATTAAGATGTTTCCATTAGCAGAACATTAGCATTCTTATGTTATGGCTAGTTCCAAAGGGAGGCAGCAGGTTCTGTCCTAAGAGACACCATCTTCACAGAAGATGGTAGTGAAGTTTATAGATATTTCTTTCTTTTCCTTCCCAGTTTTTTTTAATTCCTGTTGTTTTTATTTTTTTTTTTCTCCTTCACTATCTGTCCTGCATTTTAATACAGCTGATCTGATTTGCCATCTTTAGAGAACAGTTGTTTTGTTCTGACAGTTCTTAGCCACGTGAGCCCATTTCCAGTGAGCTCATTAAAGCATCTCCCAGGTGGGAGCTGCACTCTGATGCTTATCAGCCTCACTGCAGGACGGTGCAGTGGAATTTAGTGCCACAGATGGTGTATTTGTTCGTGATTAACAAAGAAACTGTTTGATTTTTTTTTTTTTTTTGAAAGATGATCTTAATTCTTTGACGAGAATGCCTGGAAATATTGACTCAATTAAATTACAGTGTTGTAGCTTGAGCGGGAAAGAAAATGATGTATTTGCCTTCAGCATCATTTTCTATTTTAACTGTAGAAGGTATTTAAAGCTGTGTAGTGAAATACTTAGGTGGATAAACTGAAGACGTAAGTGCTAGGCAGGTTTTGAATTAGCAGTCACCACAAATGCCCAAGTGTCAGTTCTATCTTACAGTACCGTGCAGTTTCGTAGTTCAAAATATTTAGTAGTACAGTTTTTATGTTACAGCATAGTAGGGAATCGAGCCAGCTTTGTCACTCCTATTAATTGGTCATTAATTAAGCATTCTCATTCCTGTTAATGCACGAAAATGCTGCTGAACAAGTTTTGAGAAGTCTCCCTGATTTGAGATGCAAAAAATATGTCGCAGACTTTGAGGAAGGAATGAAACACATTCTTTCTTCCAGAACTTGTTGCTATATACTATGAATAAATAGATTTGGAAGTAATCTTTACAGCATTATGTGTTTGCCAAACGTGCTGTGGTTTGTATTTTTGCTAGCTTACATCATTAGCAGAGATTGTTTCAAGTGCCTTCCCACTCCACTGTCACACAGTGAGAGCAGAGTCTGGTCTCCATTAGCAGCTGTCCATCATGCCTGTTTCCTTCCTACACTCTGCGTAATCACAGCCTGATGACTGACTGCAGTGCTGTGTTTCAGCCCACGTTTCCTACTCTGTGGCCTCTCTTTCCTCCCTGCTAAGCCTGAGGCAGATTTGCTGGAAGTTGTTTTTTTCTGCAGCTTGCGTCTTTACTATATTGAAAAAAATTAATGCTTGGGTACTAAAAGCAGGATTTAAATAGACTTCAGGAGTGGAAGACCAGATGATGTGATACCCAGGAGCCACTGTTGTAATATGTTTGTATGGTCCAAACCAAAGTGCCATGCTACCCTCACACTGTTTGTATATGTATAGCTTTTAAAGCAGTCATTTATATAATTGCCTGAAGGCTTCTGCATTTACATGGAACATGGACACGATGTTTGCTTTCTTAGCCTGCAATGATTTAACCCAAATCCCTGGAGGACTGGAGGACTTGGAGCTAATCCCTGCTCTCTAAATATTTGAATTACAGTATAATACAATGTTTTGTGTTATGCACTAGATGGCTAAAAATCTCAGAAATTATCCTGATAAATGAATTCAAACCGCCATCCTCACTGAGTGGTCTGAGACAAGCTGGAGAGCCATTTTCTTTCTCCATGAATCTCACAGTCTTCTCTCCCACCTTTACCAGGGCATGCAGGAAATATTTTTTCTGTGTCCTCTTTCCTAGGGTACTCCTGTTTTCCAGGTCATCTTCCAGAAGACATAGGCTTGAATTCTCCTGAGCAGAGGAAGGAGGGAACTCAGACCTCCCACATCACATGTGTGTATTCTGAAATCTGGATATTCGTAGAAGAATATCGATACCACATCCTGTAGCTTCTTTCAGGAACGAATCTCATGCAAAACTTTCAAAAGCACATACAGGCTCCAGTTCCTGGATGGGTAATTCACGATATGTTTAGTACGAGTTGGTACAATGGGACAAATTTTCTGGAGAAAGGTTTTTCAGATAGGCTCTGAATTTTGGATCTCCAGGCTGGGGTGAGGGGCTCCATGTACTGTACCAGGAGACTGCAGAGGTATTTTAGGTCCCACTCAGGGGCAACGCCTTGTTTAAGAGGCATGCACGGCATGGAAATGCCAGGAGCCTTCATTGCATCTAAATGAAATCCCTGCATGAATAAAGAAACAGACCACCTCAGCAAATGCTAATAACAGACAGAAATTTACTATTTCCACTAACTGGTTCTGTAAAAAGAATTTAATTACAGCAAAGCCTTTGGTACAAATTCTGTTTATTCTTGGAAAATAAGTCAAAGGAATAATTAGCAAAAGAATAATCCTATTTGTGAAAACAGGCACTGCTAAGCAACATGGGAAGGATGCTAATCGTACCCTACTAATGAATAAAATTATGCAGCAGCTGATGTAAATTCTGTCCACAAAAACAAATCCTTTGCAAACAAGTACATGGTTAAATTTTAAGAATGAATTATGCACATGAAAGCTGTAACTCTCCTGTGCTGTTTGAATGGCTCTCAGAGTACTGTATCCCAATGTTCACTATTCATGAGTGGCCTGTTGCTTTTCTTGCTTTATGGTATCCGTTCCATTGACTGCTCTGTAGATGGGCTGCCCTTCATTACCACAAAGCTTAACATTGGCATGGGGATGATTTGCTTTGTGTCTGAAATGACGTGTAGTGCTTTCTCCTTGAATGAATCCAAAGGATTTAGAATTATCTTTCTTTGGGCTTTTTATTTTTTTAGTGGTGTTGCTTTTAGGAAACTTAAGAGGGCACAGGAAGGGAAATGGTAGTACAGTGGAGGAGCTGTGGTAACAAGCATTTAATGATTTTCTGTCTGCCATTTTTCTACACATCAGATGCACATTGGACTGAAAAGGACGGCTCTGTGTAGCTATTAACAGTGTGATCCCAAGTGCTGCTGTGGCAAAGTATGTTTTCATTTAACTATATTCACTGGCTCAGCTCTTACTCTGTGATCATTTAATGAAGATTAGTAGTAAGTCCATAATAAAGTAGATTACTGGAACTATTCTGAATTGACATTACAGCTACTAAAAGCAGAGATTGACACCCACATTCAGTAAAACCGTGCACTCAGAATATGTAATAATGCACTTTTTATTTGTTTTGGCTTAATTAATGGTACTGTAAGAAGTGCTGGAATGAGCCCATCTGAATTAGGAAGCAGAAGGCTATTTTAGAGGCTCTCTAAGCTTCATAAATTACTCAGCGAGAGAAAATGGGAGAGTGAAGAAGGGGGAGAGGAGGAAGAAGGAGAACTAGGAAAGAAAAATACCTAGCACGTATTCAGTAGAAACAAGTAGCAGAGAAGGAAACCAGAGTTAGTATTGAGACTGTGATGACTATGTGACCAATTTTCTTTCAAGTATTTTTTAGATAGCTTGAGTTTTTTTATCTATTATGTTGTCGGTCTTGTCGTTCTGCACCTGCAATTCATCGCAAACAACCACAGTGTTCAGTAATCTGCTTTTTGTAGGAGCTTTGTGCTTTGCTTTTAAGTTTTGGTGGATAAATCTTTGACAAATCTGAAACCATAAAGTAACCATGTTGATGCTGCCACTTAAAACAGGTTAAGTCATGCAAATGCTTTAGACACTGTTCACAATTCAGGTGAATTACATGTGATGTATTAACAGTTCATTTTCAAAGTGTATATAGGTAAGGTCACTGTAAAGCTTTTTATGTATTCCAACTTATGCTGTAATGAAATAAATACATACAAAAGGCTTATCTCCCCATAGAGGTTTCTGACTGTTGTTTTTTCTTTGTCATCCATTTGATCATTAAACAGTATCATGTATGTTCTTATCATAAAACAAAGGCAAAATTAGATGGATGATCACAAAGGCAAAATCTTCAGGAAATGTTTCACCATGCCCTGAATATTAGGAACATGAAATACTCGGTGGGTGAAAGCCCTGTTTCAAGTACAGATTTGCATAAACTCCAGTTCCACTGATTTTTATTTCCTGTTGTGTTTATTTTTTTTTCCTGGAAGAATGTTAAAATATTTACTTGTGACTGTTGTGTGCAGGTTTTCCAAGTGTGCTCTCCTTTCTATGTCAGACATAAGATTTTTGACAGCAGTAGATTTACAACAGTATAAGAGCAGAATCAAGCACAACTTGAGCTTAGGATGTTGTCTCCTACTTATTGTCTCATCTGTTATTTTGCTGAAATGATATCATAGAACCCTTTTGAAAATTCCAGGATTCATAGTGGGACTCAGTGGAGTTTGACATGGTATCATTCATGTTGCATGTAATTTTCCTTTGCCAACCCAATGTACAAGTTCTATCTATTTTGACTTTTCCACGTTTTCTTCATAACACCCAAATTATGCTGATGGATAAACCAGGATAAATCAGGAATGACTTAACCAAATGTCTGAGCTTGCCAGAAGAGTTGTTTCATTAAGTCCCAGAGTTTTGATCTGACTTACTAAGGATCTATTTAGGAAAAAAAGAAACACCTTATGGATTTAGGCAATCACTAATTCAAAGTGTATTTTTTGCACGTTTTCTTATTTTTTTTTAAAACTTGATTTCATTACAACAATTTTTTTTTTTAACTATGTCACTTTTTGTTTTTCTCTGAGCTGTTAACTAGATACCAGGAAACATAGTGCCCGTGATGTTTCACGTTAAATGTATATTCCCTTTAGGTTCACTGACCATTGTCATAGAATGATTTGAGTTGGAAATTTAAAGGCCATCCAATCCAACTTCTCTGTGATGAACAGGGACACTTCAGAGTGCTCAGGGCCCTGCCCAGCCTGGCCTTGGATGTCTCCAGGGATGGGATGTCCACCACCTCTTTGAGCAATGTGTATCAGTACCTCACCAACTTTTATGTAAGAGACATTTTCCTTACATCCAATCTAAGTCTCCCCTCTTTTAGTTTGAAGCTATTTCCCCTTTTCCTATCACAGGAGACCCTACTAAAGAGTCTGCCCCTTTATTATTGCCCCCTCATTCCTCAGGTTAATTAACCCATAAGCTCAAGCATCAAGACTGGTAGGAAATATGAATGGGCCAAAGAACTTATGTCATATTATGGCGCTAATTTTTTAGTTCTGAAACACTGCACCAACTGTGGCACAAGGATTTGGGTTTCAAAATCACCCTGATTTGGGTGCAGAGCATTCCCTCATATCATCTGTGTCCAAGTATGATGCACATTTTTAACATGACGTTTAGCATTTGTTTGCATGCATCCACGCATTTGTGCTTCAAAAATCACAAAGGTTTCTGTATGAAAGCATCCAGAGACATGCAATATTGTCTTTATTCAGTTGAAGGCAGAGAAGTCTTACTGGTAGACAAATTGCTTTTGTTCTTAGACTGCAAACAGTAGAGGCATGTATACTTGGGAAGTGCCATAGCATACACAGTAATTAGCAAATACACAAAAAAACAAGCTCATCAAACACGAGCTTACAACCTACAGGTAGATGTATGTTGTGGGTGGAGACAAAGGCAGCTAATTATTAGTAATTATTCTTGCTGTGACCATGCCTAGGAACAACCCCTGGTCTTGTTTCAGGGCCATGTTGTCTTGGCACCTGTAAACAGAAAAGAAACAAGTCAAAGACTAAATATAACTGGGTGGCTAAAAGTAGATCAGGGAAGCAGGGAAGCAAGTGGCATTTATTACTCAGCTATGACAACACCTGCAGGCTTGTGTTTGAAAAGAGCATGGAGAGCATCTGCACCTCCAACAGCACCTGCAAGCAAGCAGGCTCATCTGTGAAGGAGGGGAGTAGGCAAGACACAACAGTGACACTGCTTGGCAGCAAGGAACAGAGAGGAGCTGAACCAAGGCCCTCTGAATGACAGCTGTGCTGACAAGCACAAGTCCTTGGAAGGGTGCGAGGAAATGATATGTGCCTGGCAGCCTTAGTATTTCTCCTCCAATGCTGTGCCCTCTGTGCTGAAGGTGACACACGCAGATCTTTCTTCCCATTCAATTTTCAATTTTTTCTCCTCCTCTCATTTTTTTTCCTCTATAATGTGTTCGATTTCTGTCTTGGCTTGAATGCTTTAACAGGGGGCTGTGAATTTGAAAAAATTACCTACTGGAAACCAATGAAATTCCTTTTTATTTTACTTCTCTCAAGAAATCATTAGCTCATTAGTTTTCCCCCCACATCAGGTGGGGCAGGCTTAATGCACCTGCTCCTGGGCAGAATGGCGCAATTTACCCAAGCAGCTTGCTTCCTAAGGAAAGACAGTTGTGAGCAGTTAACGAGTCATAAGGCAGATTTAAGGCAAGAGCTCTGTTACCTTTGTTAAGGTACTGGTGCTTTCATTTACTGTAGCTTGTAGCTCAGCAGAGAAACTAACTGCAGGATGACAGTATTAAGCAGGAAGAGGTTCTCGGAGGAATGGAGAACAGACTGCACTACTGCAAAATTAGGTTAGTTCACACACCATTTAGAAACCATTATCTCAGTGCTCAGGGTGTTATTTACTGACTGCTTGCTACTGCATTATAGATTCAGTTGTTTTATTGTTGTTTTTGAGTTGTTTGTTTGTTTCTTGTGGTTTTGGGTTGTTTTTTTTTTTTTGCCTCCCCCTGCTGCTTTGCAGTTCTTTGCATTTGTGGAAGAACACTGCAGAGCTTGCAAGCAGAAAACAAGTAGAAATTTTTACTTATTTTCATGGGTAACTGAATCTGTCATCTACGGTGATGGATTATACTTTTCTCTTGTCCTTTTCTAATTAAATAAAATGCTGAATCTTGGTTAGAAATGGAGGAGGAAGTGGTGAGTTTAATAGTTTCTGAACCTTTAGAGAAAACAAAGAAGACAATCAAGTTCTGCTAATGTTATTTGTCTCTTTTTGGATCATAATTAAGTCCTAAGCAGGCAGACAACCTTCTAAAAATATGAGTTATGCTAAGCCTGTGAGAGATCATAAAGTCATTAAGGTTGAAAAAGACCGCTAAGGTCATCTGGTCCATCCACCAGCCAATCCCTACTATGCCCACTAACCCATATCCCATAGTACCACACTTACCTTGTTCTTGAACACCTCTAAGGATGGTGACTCCACCACCACCCTGGGCAGCCCATGCCAATGCTTTACATCTCTTTCTAAGAAGAATTATTTCCTAATATCCAACCTGAAATCCCGTCTGGGGAGTAGTGCTGTGTAGGAACTTCTTGAAGCTGCTCGTTTCCAATTTTTCCTTTCCTACCTCTGTGCCCTGCATCTCTTTGAAAGCAAATACTGGCTCCAACTTCATAAGCACATCAAATGTGTTTTATGATTTGATAACACACCTTGGAAGCACTCTGTTACTCCTACTATAATAAAAATGACGTGCAAAATTCTAAGGGTAAAAATCAAGAGAATCTCATTCGTTTATACATACATAATTAAGCATTGCTTCCATTAACTGTTGTTTTGATGTAGATTTTTGCTATGTTTTGCTTTGGTTTGCTTTTGGCAGAGTTACAGTATAAAGGTGTGATGATAGCATGTGTTAATTATCATGTGATGTTGGATTGAAATCTTAATTCGAATGAAATGGTGCTGCCTGTCTCAGCTGACTATAGCTGAGGAGCTCAGCCTGGCATTCAGCTAGAGCTATTGCTGTCACTGATGCCAGACTTTTCCAGCAGGCTGCTGGTGTGTAAGCATGTGTTAGCATACCTTATAGATGCCTGGAACACTCTTTTATCCCAACCTAGAGAGATGTTGCTTCACCAGCCAAGAAAAGGACTGGGCAGACACTGCTCACCTGATATTTCCTATTGTAAGTAATGGCTGCAAGGATTTTGGGGAAAGAGCCTGTCTGGTTCCGGCTGCCTTCCTGACCAGACTGCCTGGCGCATTGCCGGCCATGAGAAGGGAAGCAATATTTCCCTCCCAAGAACAAGAGAGGAACAGCAGATCGGTTGTTACCCGTTTGTAGGTCTCCAGGGAGAGCGCAGCTCCTGGTTTCCTCTACCTCAAGTTACAAGGTAGCTTCTGATTCCTGAGAGCCAAGGAATAGCTCAGATTACGCGTGGTAAAGGAGAAATTCTAAAAGAAGTTATTTTTGAAGTAGCAAGGAAAATCAGTATTTTCATTGGCTGCTCGTGGTTTTGCTACTCTGTTTGAAGCGGTTGGAACATGCTGTGCTCTTCCTCATCTGTCTTAGGGCATCTCATGCAGTTTTAGTGTGGAGCTGTCCAGGCAATATTTTTTTTTTTTTTAAGTTGCCCAGCTCTCTGAAGCCATTAAAAGGGCAAATGATTATCATGGAATCATAGAACCACAGAACAGCTTTGGTTGGAAGGAATCTTAAAGATCATCTAGTTCCAACCCCCAGATTATCTGGGAAACAGCTCCCAGTGAATGCTTTTCTTTTCCTCCACAAGCTGAATGTTCTCAGCTAAAAATGAAAAAAGCAGAAAACTGTATGAGCAATGGCTGCACAAAGAAGTTATGGTTAGTTTCTGATGCTCTTACAATAGGAAAAATGGTCAATAGAAGGACTGGTTCTGCTACAACCTTGCATCTGTTACTGGGCTCAACTGCTTAAGCTTCAGTTTTCTCTGAGAAGTGTGTCAGGGAGGAGCAAGATGATTCATCCCGTGAGGTGTTGGAAGTAATTCCATTTTTTACTCTAGCACAGCACTGTGGGAACATTAGGTAATGCTGTGGAGTACATTATTTCTTGTTTCATATTTTACTATGTTTTATCCATGTAAAAAGAGTATTTCCTTCATATGAAAGAGAA